TTCAATTGCTTTACATTCAAACACACAACATTTCCATCACAAATCCTCATAAATCATGTTCAACATGAAATGTACATCAACACACACATATCTCAATATTTTATCTTAACTACATTGCAATACATACTCAAATAAACTAATTCATAGCACAATGAGATAGGGTAGAGTCTCCCCTTACCTCAAATCGAAGACCCAAACACGAAATCAACAAAGAATGTGCTCCCAGCACGAGTTTCGTCCTAAATTCATGGAAAACTCGATGAGAAATAAAAAAAACAAGGAAGAGGAATGGAAAACTGGAATCCTAACTCTTAGAACTTACCTCCAAGCGTCCCAAACACAATCTCAACCTTCAATCCAACTCACAAACGGCTTTAGAGGTAATTTAATTGGTAAGAACAAGTTGGGAATAGAGAGAATCAGAAAAGAGATGAAGAGAAAAAGTGAGAATTTGTTTCCCAAACCCTAAACCCCTCAAATACCTTTCTAGTTGCGACACTCTCGTACACCAAGAAATTCTAGCTACAGCGAAAATCTCATAGGAAACTGCACTCTAATTTCTGTAGAATCTCGCTACATCGAGACCCTCTCACTACAGCTAGACTACATCCAGAAATGCACCCCTCTCAGCGAGAGTTGAGAATGTCTTTGCAGTTCACACTTATCCTATTTTCAATCCAATTCTAATTATACTCAACAATTTCAATTCAACCGCAAACCAACATATACACTTATACTCATATTCACATATTCATACATGTCCATGTCATCACACATGTATCAAATACTCATTCAAATAGAACTCTACACGTTATATTAATATAAAACATCATTACCAAATTCGGGACGTTACAAGTAAATCCATTTGTCCTAGGTTCCTCTCACATAAGTTCAACCAAGAAGTGTATTATGTTAATTACTTTAAATTTCATTTATAATTAATTTAACTTTTAATCTTTATTTTTATTTAATTTTGCATTCTTTAAGTTCAAACAATTGAATTAAAGAAATATTAGTAATTAGAAATAATCCTTGTGGGACAATAATTTGAGAACTCCCCTCGCTGCAACGATACCCCCTCTCGCTACAGAAAAATCTCAGAGGAAACTGCACTCTGGTTTATACAGAATCTTGCTACAGCGAGACTGCATCCAGAAATGTACCCCTCTCTGTTGCCTTCTCGCTACAACGAGAACGCAACAGACGCACCCCTTTTGCCCAGGACACTCTCGCTACAATAAGAATCCTCTTGCTACAGCGAGAATGCCTCTAGAGTTCACACTTAGCCTATTTTTAATCTAATTCCAATCATACTTAACAATTTCCATTCAACCACAAATTAACATATACACTAATACTCATATTCACATATTTATACACGTCCACGTCATCACACATGTATCAAATACACATTCAAATAGAACTTCACACGTTATATTAATATAAAACATCATTACAAAATTCGAAGCGTTACAAGTAAACTCATTTGTCCTAGGTTCCTCTCACATAAGTTCAATCAAGAAGTGCATTATATTAATTACTTTAAATTTCATTAATAATTGATTTAACTTTTAATATTTATTTTTATTTAATTTTGCATCTTTTAAGTTCAAACAATTGAATTATAGAAATATTACTAATTGAAAACAATCCTTGTGGGACAATAATTCGAGAACTTAATTTAAAAATCCTTTATTACTTTTCTACGGGTACACTTTTGCCTTTGAACATTCATCCCATGGTCAATCATTCTAAAAATGGCGTAGTTCAAGCTTATCTCCCTCCTACACTTCTTCTCACTCGTGGAACCATCTACTATTAAGCAAGACCTAGTTAACCTAAATTAGTGTTCTACGCGGCAAGCTGAATATGATATCTTTCAGCAAAATTCTACTTGGACTTTTATTCCTTTACTACCAAACTATGAACCTATTGGCTACAAATGGATATTTTGTGTCAATCAGAATGTGGATGGCTACAAAATTCTACTTGGACTTTTATTCCTTTACTACCAAACCATGAACCTATTGGCTACAAATGAGTATTTCGTGTCAATCAGAATGTGAATGGTTCTCTAAACAAATATAAAGCATGTTTAGTTGCAAAATGATTCTACCAAATGCCTAGGTTTGACTATATAGAGACCTTTTCTCCAATTATTAAACTCGTTAATGTTCGTATAATTCTCGCTTTAGCTTTGTCATATGGTTGGCAAATCAATCAACTTAATGTTAAAAATGCATTCCTTAACGGGTTAATAAGGAAGTTTATATGTCCCAACCTCTTGGATTTGAACATACTGACAAATTCTTAATTTTTAGGTTTAACAACCTTAGTTTTTAGGTTTAACAAGATTATTTATGGTCTTAAACAAGCATCACGAGCTTGGTTTGAACATCTACATTATGTTTTATTGCAAATTGGTTTTCAATCTTACACATGTGGCTAATCATTTTTTAATTTATTCTACTCCCTATGTTGTTGTATATGTTTTGGTGTATGTAGATGACATCTTGATTACCAGCAGTTCCTTTCTTTTCACACCAGTTATATCTCATCTCAACTCAGCCTTTACAGTTACACAACTAGGAGAGTTGGATTACTTTCTTAAAATTGAAGTAGTTACACTTCAAGATGGCTCTTTACATCTTAAGCAAATTAAATATATTCGAGACTTGCTGGCCAAAGCCAAAATGACTAACCACAAGCGTATTAATAAATCCAGATTTTGATGGGTTTTAATTAGTTTTCTAGGATCTTTTTAATAACAAAGTGTAATTTGAAAGATGAAAATCTCACAAAAATATATAATTATTCAAATAATTCAAGTTTTATTTTAGTAACTCAATTTGTTTAGATTGAATAGAATTTTTATGTAAATGTTATTGATTGAATTAGTTTTGCAAGAGATTCCAAGGGAAACACATGAATTGAAAGCTTTAAGAAGTCAAACTGGTCTAGTGTAATCACTTACAATACAAAAAGTGAACACTTCAGAGGTTTGGAAGACTAAGGTTGGGCGTAAGCACTTTTAACACCAAAAGTAAGCACTACGAGGTTTTGAAGAAAGAATGTACTGCACATAGCTACTTTTTATGATGAAAGTAGTCACTCTGAAGGCCTTTGAGGAAGTGGGTGTTGTGCGTAAACACTTTTGGGACCAAAAGTGGTCACCACAGAAGCTTATATGAGGGATTCAGCTGGGCATAGCTACTTTTAATGTTGAAAGTGGTTACTCTTGAAACTGTATTATACAGAAGGCTTACACGTAGGCACTTTTAGGACCAAGAGTAGTCACTCCAGAATGTTGAATGAGATAAACCTAGCGCATAAACACTTTTTGGGAAAAAAAAGTGGTTACACAAGAAGCGCAGGAAAGTTATAAACAGCCAGAAACTTAGATTTTTTTATATCTTTCTCATTTTTTTTATAATACTTTTAAAGAGCTAGAGAGAAGATTGGGAGTAAATTTGAAGACTTAATTCTTAAGAAATTAGGCTTGGGACTTGAGTTTAAGAAGATTTTCTATACCTTCTCTTCTATTCTTTCTTTTTCTCTTTCTTTTGAAATCATGTTCTAATCTATTTTTATTAGGGATTTATGGATTCGATTTGGACATTGTAAATTGATTATGGATTTGGATTTTAAAATTTTGATTGTATTGAATATTTAATTCTTTCCTTAATGCAATTCTTGGATTAATCATTCAATTAAATTGAATTTAGAAATTTTATATCAATGGAAGTTGAGTGAATTTCTCATATTTGAATTGAATATCAAGGTTATTGATATCTTAGGAATAAGCATTCATGATCTACTGATCTCTTGATTTCTAATACTTAATGCAATGATTAATTTACACCTAATGAATTAGGGTAATTAATTGAATATTAGGATCATTGAGTCAAGGAATTGAACTTTAATTAACATAGTGAAATTGATCATCAATCAATTAAGAAACTTAAGAATTCAGATCACATTTAGTTTTGCAATTAACAAATTGGTGAAATCAACCTAACTTCATTTGATTAATCATTTCATTTCTCAAATCTTCACTCTATTTTCTATTTCCTTTTATTTTCTACACTTTATTGTTTTGCTTCTCAAATGTTCAAAACTTCTGATATTTCAATTAGCTCAAATAGTTTTTGATCTTATGAATTGGTAATTGAATGAATTAATCCCTATAAACAATACTTAGAACTCAAAATTCTAAATTGTATTACTTGCTATAACTACTTAGTACACTTGCTAGATAGGATTTCTACACAACAAGTTTTTAACGTCATTTGTAGGGATTGCTTACATTCAATATCATTAGTAACAAGAAGATTACTAGATTAAGCACTTCTTTTGTTGTTTTGCTTTCTAATTTTTCTACATAATTCATTTTTATTTATGTATTTTGTTGTATTTTGTGTATTTTCTACATGATATTCTGGATAAATTTTCTGCATAATTTATTTTTACTTTTATATAATTTTCTACTTTCATTTAAATTTTGTATACTTTCTTATTATATACAAGGAAAAAACAAGGAATAAAGTTGATCTATTGTTTGACCTTGAAATAGACAAGACTCTAAGAAGATTAAGGAGTGAAGCTAAGGCAGAGAATTCACAGAAAGAGCAAGAGACTAAACCAACTCCAAAAAAATTAATTGAGAATCAAACACCACCAAAGGACAACTCTATGGCTAAGAATAATAGGATGAGAACCTTGAGAAACTATGCTATTCTAAATATGCAGGGATGCATTTTGAGTATTTTCAGACCAATAATTCACGCCAATAATTCTAAGATCAAGCCTGCATTGGTGAAATTGGTACAACAAGATCAATTCTCTGAAAATGCTTCGGATGATCCCAATCTACATCTCTCTATTTTTCTGCAACTATGCAACACCATTTAGATTAAGCCTAACCATAAGGAAGCATCAGAACATGTACAGATATGGTGAATAAATTTCTGACTAAATACTTTCCACCTTCCAAAGCTATTAAATTGAGACAAGGAATTATATCATTTATTCAGTAAGATGAAAAATCTTTATATGACGCATGGGAAAGATACAAAAGAGTTACTGCGAAGATGTCCTCATCATTGCATTCCAAAGTGGATGCAAATTCAAACTTTCTACAATGGGATGAATCTTGTCACAAGAATTATGATAGATGTAGCAACAGGAGGTTTGTTGAATACTTAAACTCCAGAGGAAGTCCAACAACTTATTGACATGATGGCAACCTATATGTATCATAATGTAAATGAGAAACAAGTCGCAAGAAAATAAGCTTATGAAGCAAAGGCTCTTGAAGCTTTTATTACTCAAAACCAATGCAAAATCAATTGCTTTCTGAACAACTTGCAGTCTTAACTCAACAAATTAATAGTTTTCAAGTTAAAGCTGCCCAAACAAACCCCTTGGTATGTGACTTTTGTGGTGAAAATCATGTGAATGGAACATGTGATGTGACTACACCATAATTTTATGAACAAATCCATTATAGGGGGGATTTTCAAAGACCTCAACCTCACTACCCCATGGATATCAATATCAAGCTAACATGAGTCGACTATATTATAATTGGAATCAATAAATGCCTGTTACAAATGTTAATAATACAACAACACCATTCTCTAGTCTTCGATTTTCATAGCCTTTTTTTCAAGCATCATATTCTCAACCTCAAATAGGACAGCAACCATCAAAGACTCTTTTGGAAAGAATAAATGAACTTGAAGAAACTCTGCTCTAATTTATGAAAGTTACTAAATCAACCTTCAAAAATCAAGAAACATCTATGAAAAAGCTTGAGATGCAAATAGGACAACTTTTAGAACAATTGACAAATAGGAATAATGGATAAAATTCAAGTAAGTAATTGATTAACTCACTGATTAACAATCCAACATAGAATTACTCATTAGATTCAAATTATGCTTCTCAATTATCAAAACCTAATCTCAATTCGTGATTACTGTAGAATTAGCATTCCAAATTTAATGTTTAACCTAGATCAAACAATTTTTGACAGAAGATTAATAATTAAAGTACAAAATCTACGAATTCTCTCTCAATTTAATCCAAATCTTACAAGATAAGCACCTAACAAAATTTAAATTACATGTATATCAAGAATCTCATATTAAATTCAATTAGAGATTAAACCTTAGTCAATTAAACTCATGCATAGAATTGAAAGAAGAAGAGAATTAGGTTAAGGAATCAGAAACAATTCAAGAATAATACCTCGGATTCCTATTATTAGATTGTCAATTCAATGAGATATCGAGTTTACCACACTAATGATTTGGATCATGCAAATTTGATTAGAAATCTAAGCTAGGTTTGTTGTCTCTCCTTTGGAAGTTGTAAGAGAAATTGTATAACATCTTTTCACTTAATGCTTTATTTTATGATGAATTAAAAATATATTTCATGTTGATTTTATACTCAAAATTGAAATGAGATTCATTGTTGTTCTAGTTGCCCAGATATAGAGGTTAGAATTTCAGTATGATCAAATAAATCAAAGATTATGCAATGCTTGTGTGAAGCTTGGAATGCACAATTATCCTACATAAAGTGAGGTCCAAAAGAATTTATATATGTGCTATGGTTGTGGCGTGTTGTTATAATTGTTTGTGTATTCATTCTGCATATGTTTTGTAAAGCATTTATGCATCATCTTGTATTTATAGTATAATCTTTGCATAAAATTTTTTAAAACCAATGCCTACAACTTATAAATAGTGTCTACTGGTTTAATGTACAATTTTCTAAATTAGACATGTTCTAGTTGTGGCTCATTCAATTAAAAATTGCTAAGCACTAAAGTTTAAGGTTCAAAAGTTAATTGATGCAAAATGGTTAAATTTTAAGGAGATCGCTCCTCATATTAAGAATAATCTATTACTTGGACATGAAGGATCCCTAGTCAATGTTGTTGAGAAAGAAGGCCAACAATCCTTAAAGTGGAGATGGGAGGATCAAAAATACTGCTATGCTTCAAGCTAACACTTTTACCCTATTAGAAAATAATAAGGTAAACTTATGGAAATATAGTGTAGGAATCCATATAGATAACATTAATAAAAGTACACACCTTGAAATAACAAATATTGTAGGAATTGATGGAATAAAAACATATCTACATTCTTGAAGTACTAAGAAGAGATGCCAATAAAAAAAAATAACTCATAATGATAACAAAAAAGAAAAAAGAAAAGAAAATTTTGTTAATCCAAGAGCTAGCACTACTAAAACAAAAAGCAAATGAGTCAAAAAGCCTACTAATGATGAAAAAACTTGTAAATTCCTAAATTTTATCAAACAAAGTAAATATTTAGTTATAAACCAATTGAATAGGCCTTGATATAGATTATAAATGATGTTTTTTTCATAAATTTTGTAAAAAAGAATTATTTTTTTTTATTATTTGTAAGTATTTATTAGTATAATTTGTTTGTTTTATAAAACTTTTAATGTTTTTAGATAACATAATAAATGATCATTATTGAAGATTAAGTTGAGGATTAGATAAATTTTTAATTTTCATCATTGTTGTCTTTATGATAGATATAGTAAGATTTGTTTTTATTACTTGAAGATTATTTTTAATGGAAAAATTTTAGGAATTGTATCCCAAAAAAATGGTTGGGATGTTATTGAAAATGATATCCAAAACATATTTAAAATTTGACATTGTAGAGACATTAGTTTTAGAAGAAAACAAGTTTCCTTTTATAAAAAAGTTATTTCATTTCTTTCTTAATCAAATTGTTTGATCTCTTAGATGGAGGAATTTATTTGCAAAAGTAAAAATTGCTCTTTTCATGCTGTATTTGATTGGAATTTCTATATTATTCAAATTGATTATTTTTTGGACGGTGACATAAATCATCGTTATATTAATGACAAATAAAATTATATATATATATAGTTTTGCAAATATAATTAAAGGTTGAAGTAGATATTTTCATAGAAAAGAATTATATATTGATAAATGCATTATATTATAGTATATTAAAAAAATTACTAAATTTTAAAAAAATGTTGCAATGGATATCACATTCAAACACAATATGAAATATCTCTATATTATCTGAATTGTTTCTGACTAAAGGTTTATATTAGAAAAATTCTTGTTCGTAAGGACAAAAGGTTTAGGTATTATTATATTTTTCAGGTGGAAGTTTGTACTTTTCAGAGGAAAAAGAAAAAGTATGAAGAAGGTGAGAAAAAGAAAATGATTCGTGGGCGTAAACATAAACACTAAATGACCTTTCGTTTATCGTTCAACAAAAACACTATAAACATGAGTCATTTCATGTTTTATGTAAACATTAAGGAGAAAAATGAGGTACTTACCCGAAAGCCCACTTATCTCTGGGCCTGTTCTCCATACTACCCAAGAAGAAATGTATAGAATATTATAGGTTCTCGGTATTGGGAAATAAAGAGTAACGACTGAGAAACCAGACAAACCAAAGGAGTTGTTTTCCGAAATCATGCGAAAATATTTTCCTCAGATGTAAATTAAAAAAAAAATTATATTCAATTTAATAATAAATTATAATTCGTTAAATATAAATTAAATAAAAAAATTTGAATATAAATTTTTAAATTTATACTATTATGAAAAAAAAAAAAATTATATATATTATAATGATTTTTTTTAAATATTCTTTAAAAAAATTTAATTATTAAATAAAAAATTTAAAATCAAGCAATCTTTGCATTAAATTTTGTTATTCTTCTGTCACCGCCTTCTTGGAATGTATTTGAAATATTGTACTTTTCCGATACAACTTGATATGTTGTTAAAAGTCTTTGTCAACTTATAAACCCCAAACATTTTTGGGAATAGATTTTTATAATTTAGATTCTTCAAATTAATTTTTGAAATTAAGCTTTCACATTTTCAAAAATTAATATTTGAAATTATTAATTTTTAAAAAAAATAAATTTCTACAATTTGGATTCTACACTTACAAAAATAAATTTTAAAATTTATGTTTTTATACTTCTAAAAATTAATCTATGAAATTATTAATTATTTTTAGAAATAAAATTTTGAAATTAGAATTCTACAGTTTTAAAAATATATTTAAAAATCAAATTAATTTCTAAATTTAAGTTTTCACACTCCTAAAACTTAATTTATAAAATTATTAATTATTTCTGAAAATAAATTTTCAAAATTAAGAGTTTAAGTTTACAGAAATAAGTTTTCGGAAATAATTTTACACATCTGAAATTAATTTCTAAAATTAGTTTTTCATATTTCTATAAATTAATTTTTAGAAATAAGCCTCTGACATTAAAATTTTACTCCTCCAAAATTAATCATTCTACGAATGCTCCTATACTTAAGCTTTTGGAAACATTTTTTTTTTAATTTTTAAATTAAATTTTGAAAGTTAATTTTAGATATATTTTCAAATTTTAAATTTTTTAATAAGATTAAAAAGAATAAAAAATTAATTAATTTTTTTGTCGTCGATAGTTTTTAAAAAATATAGAAAATTAATAGGATGTGAAATTTTTATTTTTATTTTTATTTTGCAAAAAGCAACTCTCCATACCAAAAGGAGAATTAAGGGCGAAACGTGGCTATGACCATGACCTCCGCCAGAAGCGGAACAAACATTTCATTTCATCCAACTAATAGGAAAAATATACATTTCAAAAACAATTAATTATTAAATAAGAAAAAAATTAATTATTATATCCAGAAAAAGTTAAACACAGTATAGTTTTTTAGTTTAATTTTAATATATTGTTAAAATAAATAAATATATCATTAATTAATTAAAACATACAGTAACCATAAATTTTTAATTAATTATTATAAAATTTAATAATTCTATAACTTATGATTAAACGATAATATATATATTTGTAAATTATTAATATGTTGAATTAAATTCACAGTTTTGAAAACTAAAATAGAATAATATTTTTGGTGCATGTGGTCCATGATTAATTGGTTCTGTTTGATGATTAGACGGCAGTAACATCCATCACAGAACACTACACAGGCCATTGAATGCATCGTATTCAAACTCGCATGTGCTTTGTACGTTCACTGTCTCCCACAAAATCAATGCCCAAACCCCAAAACAAGTGAATAACAGTTTATTCAATTTGCAAGCGCCGTAGGTAGAACGATATTAATAACAGTTTTGTTAACTTTTAATTTTTAAAAATAATTTTAAGTATTTCAAAATAATAAATATATATATTATAATTTATTTAAATTTCACGTTTAAGAACGGATTAATTTTTTTTTATAATAATAACGTCCACATGCAAACTTGTTGGCGTGCTGATTTAGCTCTCGATTGTCTTGAATTGCAAAAATAAGTAATGATATAACACATTTGTATCGATGAATTTTTATCATAATATGTGTGTATAAATTTTAGAACGGAAACGTTATTGGATGTTTTCTAAATTGGAGTGTTTTTAAGAAAAAAAATTATTTTTTTTATTTCAAGTAGCTTTTTTATGTGACAAACTAAAACCAGATGTTTGTTTATCACAAGAAATTAGTTCATGTTTTTTTGTGTTAAAAATCAATTTTATTAGTTCAAACTTGCACTAATTTTATTAAAATTAATTCTACCAAACTTTAAAATAAATGAAACTAAATTTCTCACAAAATAGTAGACTACCTCTTAACAAATATATATATATATAAATCCGGAAAGAAAAAAGATAGAGCCACGTACCTATAGAGTTTGCATTGTATAGATGTAAATGCATTACTTAAGTGTTAGAGATATAAGGTCATACTCTAAACACAGATTAAGTCTTCTTTTGAAAAACCGAAACCACTGTCTCTTATCATTATTCTGTTTTTGGTGCAGCACTTGCCCATATTTCCCTGTGTATCACATGCTTATGAGACACAAAATCAGGAAGTCACTACTCATCCGTAAATAAGCGTTTTAGGTCGACTATTCATGTTCAACCTTCTGACTTTGACATATACAATGGCCATATTTTTAGAGTATGAATATTGAAATAAGTATTTCCATGGGGCATGTTCATGGAAGTGTTGTCAATTTTATGACAATAACATTTGGCTTTGAAATACCATGGCCAAATAGGCCAGTAGCAGCAGCTAATTCTATGCTAGCTGCGTATCTATATTATTATATTTGATTTAATTCTTGTAAGGTAGGAAGTATTTAAGTGAAAAAAAATGTAGAACTATTAACCATTTATTCATAGTTAATTATGGTTATAAAATACTTAAATTGAAATAGAAAGTAAAGAAGATCACTTCATTCATTTTATACATATTTTCATTTTAGAAAAATATTGTATTTATATAAAAGGGGTGTCATATAAGTAACAACCATAACTCATTGCAATTGTTAAATTATATAACCAAACGATTTTGTGTTTCGAAAAATAACCACATTCCACTTGTGTACACTATGTATTCCCAGCATCACAACCCCTCACACCATGATATATATACATATTCATGCAGTGTTCCATCATCACTTTCTATTTTAATAGAAAGTTATCTTTCATTTCGGTTCCTATATGGTAATCATGTACATGCCCTTCTCTAACGTGAAGAATGCATTATCTTAACAAAGGGCAAAATGATACATCACACTATACCTAAGAGCATATCCTTTGTGAGTTCTTCCACCAAATCATCAGTTATTAGACATTCTATCTGTGTCTCCAATATATTGATCTGATCATTCATGAGTCCATACCAGGAGATGGGTCCAAGGTCTTGTGCCACCAAACTATCAAATGAACAAGGAAATAAATAAGATGGAGGAGATAAAGAAACACGGATAATGTCCCACACTAACTTCAGTAGTTCCTTTCCATATGGCGGAGGCTGCATGCAGGAATTGCTTAGTTTCTTTCTGAATCTAGACAAAGGCAAAGTTGATCCAAGAACAATCGAAAGAGCCTCATTTAACAAGTCAAGTAAAACCTTGTGCTCTAATTTATTCTGATCCTTTATGAATATTTCATTCTCCTTGACCAATATCTTGTGAGATTCTTCTACTTCTTCAAAAACTGAGTTGCCAATAGGCTTTGCAAGTGTGTCCCCTCTTAATAAAGATTTATCCCATGAACCAAAGTACAAACCAGAGGCAACAAGCAGGTCTCTTACATAAGATTCTGCTGGATCATCCAATTGAACTAATTCAGACTCAAAAGGGTCCTCCTTCATGGTGAAGTCCTCAACGCCATCCGAATCAAGTTGATTGAGTTGCCTCCTTAGTTCTACCAAATCAACAAGCAAAGAGAACAGTCAGCTAGTATTTGACATCTAAAGTTGAATGTATATATTCAATTGTGTACAAGTTTGTAAGATTAATACGAACAACATTTTACTAAGCTAAGGGTCACCAAGCTGAAGTGGCAAAGAATATGCACTCTATTGTTAATTTCATTCTTTAAAAAATCAACATAATAAATACCCAGTTTCCCAAATTGGTGTGTTTTATGAGATTTCAGAAGCTATATCAAAATTGATCCAAAACATAAGAATGCATGTCAAAGGTGGATAACGAAAAGGGGAAAAAATTGTTTTACCTCCCAACCCATGTTTCTCATACAATTGCTATGACAGAAATTGTGTAGCCTTTTAAACAAGTTGTCTAAAGATAAAATTTGAAGTGAATTTAACATAAAAAGACCTTGCAAGCAAGGTCACTATCCATTTGAAGACTATATGTGCATGGAATAGAACAACAATAAGACAACATTGACATCCTTTTATGAACCGTCTGTGATATCATTGCACCAAGCTTGGAAGTTAAAATTGTCTCTCACCAATCAAACCAGAGCTGATATCTCTAAAAACCTTGGGTATAACAATATCATCTAGTGAAGATACATCTGGAGTTGATATTGGACTTAAATAATCAATCTGTCTCCAATTTTCTTCTTGAGCACAGCTGCACACAGATGCAGGACTAGGAGGTACCTCAGTGGAGTTCTCCTAAGGATCATACATGACAGAAACTATGATGATTAGATAACAACTACATATACAATATAATTTCAAAAACCAGTCATAGTGAATGCTGAAAATTTTATATAACAATCTTACATTTCTCTCACCATACTTCATGAGAACAGTTGGTCCACTCCTGATATCTCTCAAAATGGGACCATATTCATTGCCATGTGATTCTACTATCGTCTGAAGCCTTTTGCCAAACAGCTTCCCTCTTAGACCAAGAATATGTTTAAAATTGGAAACTTTTTCTTTGATACTAAATTTATCTTTTTTCCATTTCTTAACATCAATAGGCATTTCTTCAACAGCTTCCAGCTTCCTCTGGATATGAGCGCCAGTTATCAAGTGGCAGTCCTCTAGAAGAAGCTTCCCAAACGATGTTCCTGATACTGGAGCGGACAAGGATCTCACAAGGTTCCTAGGGGACAACTCCTTGTGGAGCAATACATTGTCATCTAGTTTATGTCTATACGAACCTGTTTGTATTTCTTTTTTCACTTCTAAAATTTCCCACTGGTTCATGTCAATTGCACACTTCATAGTGTCCTCTTTTTGCTTTAGTCTAATTCTGCCATTGTCTACTGTATATGACCTTGAGTTCCCACAAGCCACTGCAGGAATGTCAAAATGAACATTACTTTTTACAGTATTTCTTAGCCTCTCTGACAAGAATCTCCCGGTATCTCTATTGAAAAATTCTGGGGAACTTGGTGCATTGAACTGAATTTCACTTTTGAATGATCTAGCTGATTCTGAGCGGAGTAAATTTGATTCAGCATCTCTAATCACACTTTCACTGACATCTTTGGCTATATAATGAACTATGTCAGTAGGATCATATGGTTTTTCATTATAAGGTGTCCCAAGCTCACTAGCTCTAATCAGAGAACCCTTTTTGGCTGTTTTCCCTTGCATTTCACACTTCAACCGCTCTCTCACTTCCTCAAGAAAATCTTCTATGCCTTTTTTCCCTTGTAAAGTGCCTGATACACTGATGCAACTCTCTTCATGGTTGCAATTGCAGATCCTATCAGAACCAGGCTTCAATATAACTATCTGGGCGGGAGAAGAACATATATCTAATCTGCTTCTAGATTTCATCACTAAAGACTCCTCAAAATCTCTACTTAGTGTTCTACTCCTTGAAGGAAAGGATTCTCTTCTCTTAGTTGATATTGACTCCATCACATCACCATTTGGTAGCTTTGTTTGAAATGAGTGGCTGTCTCTCTTTGACCTTGCATCATGTTGCATCTTCTCCTTTCTCAGGTTCTCTTGACCAAGAATTTGCCTAGAAACACTTCCAATTTCAACAACCTCTGAACACTCCTTAAATCTTGCTGCTTTATATGCTTCAAATTCTTTCTTGAATTTCTTGAGTTCCTTTTCCTGAGGATGTTCCCTTGGCCTTGGTTTTTGTGTCCATCCATCATCATGAACAATGTCTTGACAAAGTGAATCAAATTCCATCTGGCTAGAAGAATTAAAGTTGGAGGAACCCCTGCCAACTAGTCCCTTTCCATCCATTTCCTTTTTCGAATACATCGTCTCCAAATTTTCATGTTTGCTTTCATCTGATGGAACAACAGATTTAGTGTCTAATGGTAATGGCATCGTGTCTATTCCCATCAACCTTGCCACAAGGCTTGGTGCATTATTTCTTGTTCCTGATTGTTTGGATAACTTCTCATTGTTCATTTTTTCCACTGAAACAACATTTGAGTAACTATAATTCTTTGACCAGCCATCTTCTACCTGACAAGTGTACTGAAAATTCACCAGAGTACATCCCATTTTAGAATGGTAAAAGAAACATGTTATCATAAGCATGGTAAAAGAAATGATGGTGGTGTCTTAAAACCCCCTAAGTACTTAACATATAGAGGTATGTGAAGAGAAACTTACAGGTAATTCTCCTTCAGGACAGTGGACCTGAGATGTTTCTACTTGCAGCTCCACACTACTTCGAGGAGTTTCCAGGGCTGTGTCACACACAGCATGAAAACAAATCAGAATTAACCAAACAAAATCGGTTGAGCATAGGAGGGACGAAACAGCACATTCACAGGAAAAAAAAAAAAAAGAGTGTCGCAGCAAGACATCTTTGAAGATGCAAATAATTAATCAGCACAGATATTTAGACTGTTTCATACTATTTAACAGAATCAATAACCTTAAAATCATTGACTAATACAAAACTTGACAAGAAACAGTCACTTGAAGCTTTTTCTCTACTGAAAGGAATCATAACAATTAGTGAACAAATACTCAATTTAGCTCCCTTAAAGATAATATAACCGAAGAAGTTCTATCGCACCAAGAGTAAAGTTTCTCTTCTATATATAAAAAACAAAAATTACCATCATTACTTTTTTTATGGGCATGAACTTTTTTGGCCATCCTCCCCTGATTGAACTCAAAAATGTGCAATAAACTTCCCATATAGACAAAGGGTCTACCAAAATGTTCTCATGATGCCAATTTCATTGTTCATGTCTCAACCAATTAAAATTCCATGATCTTGCCTTTCGCTTTGTATGAAGTGAAATGAACCAGCACACTCCGTTTTCGCATCCTGAATTGCCACAAGTTACTCGGACATCAGTTAAACAGCATTCTATAACACAAAATTCTGAACATTTTAAAATTAAATAAAATCTGTTAAGCTGTAAGATCAATGATGTGACTAAATATTTACAGAAATTATGTGATTAAAAATAATCAATCAGTTGCTTCAAACTAGAGCATTTAAGCCTCTGTGTAAATGTTGGACAAAGAACCTTGCTAACTTATAAAGTCTAAATATTATTAGATAGTATGGTGCCCTTGTAGAACAAAATTCATAAATCTAATCAATAAAAACATTATATAGTAAAGGGAGGGATAAAACTGACCAATGTTTTCCCAGTTTTAGATAAAAGGATAAAGGCTTTGAAATTTGATGTATAAATAGGCCTATTAGAAAAATCAGGAAACTTTGACTTTCATGCCAACCCAGAAGTGAAAGAACCTTAGGCTTCTAAGCATCCCATAAATCAAAAAGTTTAGAATTCATTCATGAAAAAACTAATCAGAGTCTAGAGAAAACCCAACAGCAGGTTTCTGAGGGAATGCATGGAAAGCAAGAAGCACCAGAAATTCTGAACCTCAAAATTCTGGCACCGGTTAGAACTTGCTGCAAACGAAATAGCTTTCTAGAAGATTGTTCCTTCTTTTTCTATCAGAACCATAAACATTGTACAGAACAAATGGTTCATTCACTACACACATCAATGCACGGTTAGAAAATGAGAAACAGAGAACATGTTGTATGAATGATTCAATATATACACATACCAATGAGCAGGGCAAACACCGTATCAACCAACTGAAACCTCAGCAATGAATCAATTCACGTGTTACAAAAAGAAGATGAGTGTGCTTGAAAAGCATCAAAGCTTCAAAATTTATATAAAATTTGAAAAGGGTGGAACAAAACTAGCAAATCCCAAATGGATGGAGAGAGAAAAGTGCGTGTGTCATCAAAAACGTGGAAAGTTCTGAACTGGGATTTTGTATTAAGAAACAAAGAGAGCCAAAGATGAAAGCTTCATTGAAAAAGTAATGATAATGAGATAATAATGATGATGACAAAGGAGAAAGCTATTATATTCTTAGTGTAGCAAAAGGGAACAAGTCCTCTAATTCCATTGCTGGAAGTGAATGAATGAAAGCGAAGGTTCCTCTCTGCTATTTATTTTACTAATATATTATTATTTAAACAACATTTTTTATAATATATTTTTTTATCACTCTTCATTCCATAAATCATTTTATTTTGTATTTTCTCTCTTCTCTTTAATAAATTTACTTAATAATTATTTTGAATTTACGCACAATAATATAAACTCTAATATATTCTCATAGATATATTTGTAAGAGGAGATAAGATGTATGTACTTAAAAGTTTAAATCTATTCATGTTGGCATCGCATCGTATTGATACAGAAAGAAGTCAAAGAAGACTTCTCCCTATCTGATGGCCAAGAGTTTTTTCCAATATAAATGTTAAACTAATTGATGAAAAATTATTTGTATAGTCACCTTAGAAGGGTACACAGTGAATAATAGTCTTACTTATCATAATTTATTCATGTTAAAAGTCAAATAGATAATATTTGTCATGATAAAATTTTATCATTATTTTCATAGTTACGGAATCTAAATAATCAATTAATATTAATTTATAAAATAAATTTGAAAAAATCTAGCACTCTTCTCTTCATTTATTTCATTATAAAAATTTATATAAATACAATTTCTCTCTTAAATTATTGGTTAATCATTCCCATATTTTCATTCTTTCATTTTATGATAAATCTGCTGCCAGCCATGCTGTACTATAGCTCACCATTCATGATGCACTTTTCTTTTTTCGTTTTGGTCTAGTAATATAGACTCATAGCTCTGTGTTCTTCTTAAGTTATAGTATCACTTTTCCTGTGAATTTTGTGATTTCCATGTGAGTGAAATGTTTTTACCATATCATGAAGGTGAAATAAGTGAATTGAACAGTGAATACAATAAATAACGTGAATTATGATCGTTGGTAATAGTTCAACAAAGTCTATGATAGAGTAAGGTTATTCATGAAGTATGATTTTACAATCGAAGTTTGCTTATTATTGGATTACTGTATTTGTTGATGAATGAAAAAACAATTTTGTAATCTTAATAAGCAAGAAATCTCAATGCTTAATGTTCACAGAATCAAACATGCACTTTTCAGGTAATCCTTATTACCAGTGATAGCCAGAAAAAGGACCTCTTCATGAGTATTAAAAGTCAAAGGAATTAACAACAGGTGTTAATAATGGAAAATAAGTAACGATAGATTTTCACATGGCTTATAGTATATTATTATGGAATAAAATTTGGCATCTTATGATTGCATTTTCAGATCACGTAACCAACAGCTCAGAGGTGTGTGGTTTTGCAGTTGTATGCGCACGACGCCTCCATTTGGCGCGAGATATCATAGCACTTTGGAATTTTGGATTATTTATTTGTCTTGTGATAAGTTCTCTTTCCTTTACCTTTCACAGCTCACACATTTCCATATAACATAAGTATTAAATACTAATGTACATTTTGTGCCTCACAAAAGAGTGTGAAATGGGTGTAAAGAAAAAATATTAAATAACAAATATAAAATATTGATAAAAAAAAAAGATATAGAAAATATTATTAAATTTGAATTTGGTTGACCAATTAAGTATCACGTTCTATTAATGATGTCACCTTGCCTATAAAAAAAAGTCAAAACAGACTTAAAACTCTAGAAGGAAAAGCAAATAATAATAATTAAATTATATTAAAAAATGACAAACTTAATATTTGGTGAGGAAAGAGGACCTGAATTTTTTAAATAAACTTGTAGTTGTAATTGTAATATTGTCGTGTAAATCCATCATTGGTTATTTATGTAGTTGTGTTTTGGAGTGCATTCTTTCCGGCATAGAGGTTATGATGCATGTGCAATGTGAACCTTTTTCTTAACTTCATTTTCATTACAAGACTTTGTATTGTACTCTCAAAGTTTCAAGACTTTTCCTCTTGCTTATATAAGAAAATGATTCTATTGTGTCACTGTTCAGCAGCATTGGTATGTTTGGACAAGTATATTTAGGAAAAAGGAAATAATAAAAAGTATATATTGTGGCCCTTCAAATTCACCAACACTAGCATAAGAGCTTCAACCTTGTTCACATGTATTTTCACTTCCTCTTGTTTGTTGTTTGAAATTTTGCCTCTCCTCCCTTTCACAGTGTGATATAAGGATTTAATTTCTTGTGTAGTTAGCTACCCTTACTTTGCTCATTTATGAAGCCTTCCACATCCTCTTTGTCATCTATGAATCGTGCTTCAAATTCTTCCTTTCTATATCTAAAATCTTATTTTGTTTTTGCTTTTCTATATATCAAGAGTATTACCATATGTTCTCTCTAATCATGGTATTACCCTTATTACAAGCTACCACTTTTTTTTTTTTGATAGGCAAAACAAATCTTATTAAAAAGAGTTCAAGGGGAACTCAAAATCCATATACACAAAAAATTACTTACTCAGAGAAATAAAAAGCAAAAATATACTTATGCAAAATTAAGACAGATGCAATTTCGTGGGTTCAAATACCAATCAGCTAACATAATAGCTTCTCCCTTACTAACAAGTGAAAACCATTTCCAGGATCTCAGAATAATAGAATCTAAGACTTCCTTCTCATCCAAAACACCATTGGAAAATATAATTCTATTTCTATGCAACCACAAAGACCACACTGTACTTACCCAGATAATTAATAAGCATATTCATTCTCTTTTACTACAGCCAACACCAACCCAAGAAAGCAAGTGAGTCGATAAATCTGAAGGCAAAACCAGTGAGAATCCAAGCCAACGTGCAGTAAAGTACCAAATTTGAGATGAAACTGAGCACGTTAAAAATAAATGAGTTGGAAGTTCCTCCAAACCATGACAGAAACAACAAGTTATATCATCAATTTGAACACCACGATCAATCAGTAAACCTTTATAAGGAAGTGCATTCAACAACAATTGCCAAGAAAAAACCAGACACTTAAGAGGGACCTTCCCTCTCCATAGCCTTTGCAAGGCATCTGCCGTACACTGATCTACACTATTAGGACCACCAAAAAGTTCAAATAGCCATGAATACGCAGATTGCACTGAATAACAACCTGAAGAATCTGCCCTCCATACCCATTTATCTTCTTGTTGATACAAGCTACCACTTGTCTTTTGTAATATGAAACGTGTTGGTTAAATCTAGTAAAACCCCTTTGTATCACCTTACTATAAAGTTTAAATTTGACGTTGTTTCGATTTCCAAGTATTGATTCTCTTAAATGCCATCAAATATCATCCCTTGGAGCAGCCTCTAACCTTCGTGTTGAAAATTCATCTCTTCGAAGCATTGATTAATTTTTCAAACATTTATTTAATATTTACAAAAAGAACAAGTAATCAATTATTACATAACATTTTAAAAAATTAATTTATAATTTTCATTTTATCATCAACATTTTTTTTATATTTGTGTTTCATTTACATTACTCATTAATTGTATCTTTTCTATCCGTTTAATATTACAAGTTAAATAAATTAAAATTTATAATATTATTAAAAAAATTCTCCCATAGAAAATTCGGTTGCTCTTTAAGATTTTTCTCATGCATCTTTTTCATTTATTATTACTAATTAAATAATCAATAACACTTGAACTATACTTTAGGTATTAAATGAAATAACATTTGAACTACTACTATCACTTTAACAGAAATTTTTCTTTAATATTTCATTATTTATTATATTTACTACACTAGTTATTTTTAATAAAAATATTTTAAATAAAAGCAATAAGAGATCAAAATTAACTTAAAA